GAATTCTGACAAATTTAAAATATAAGAAGACAAAACTTGATTTGGTAGCATTGCCTAAAGACAAAAGTTGTGGCATAACTGATGCCTGTTTTTGTCTCAATGCACCATATGCACTATATTTCAGCGGTATTACCTTGCTACGAGTTCTATTTTCAAAGAGAGTGGGAATTGAGAAATGAAGCGTCCTTTAACATGTGTCAACGAACAAAAGCGCTCCCTTAACACTATTTCGAGCTGTTTCTTATTCAAAACATGCATCGCAATGCTGAAATCCAGACCAACATTGATTCCTCCTTACCCTTTACCGGATGGAAGGTTTGTCATTTGTTTCGTTGATAAATTACGACATCGTGATGCAAAAATGAAAACAGCAGTCAAAACTTACATCAACGAAGTCAATATCTGCAACTCCACCACAGCACTTCTTCACCTCCACTGTTCGTCCTAAGATGTTGAGCGTTTTCGTGCGAACCGCTAAAATGGAACAATGATAAGTAACTAATGGCCGGTGTTGACTGCTCGTTAAGTTATTAAGTTAGTTTTTTGACTGCCGACTTCACTACATGGCCCTAAATAACTGAGGGTATGCTTGTTGCTTGACCCGATTCTTAACAATCTTGAGTACACTGTCACATTCCTGACTGTTGCAGAAAATGAGAATATAGAACGAAAAAGAGCGACCAAGAGCAACTATAAAGCTTGCTAATAACCATATTTGTGTAGAGAATGAGAAATCGAAAAAAAATGAAAAAATATAGAAAGAGAAATCATCGAAATACTTCAAACATTGTGGTATGAAAAAAGAGAACAAAATGATGAGCGACTGTGCAGAAGCTTTGAAAGTTGCAGACAAACATGGAAGAAGAATTTAACTGATGGAGGCAGTCTTGGATTACTTACTGTCGGTCTCATTAGCAACTAATTCCTTGAACACACGATCGCATTGCCTATCCACGTCACCGTTTTTCAAGCGAACAAAGAATTTATCAGCCTCTGTGCTTCCGATTCTCCGGTAATCAATGCCAGAATCCAAGCTGAGTGTACGGCATCTGTTCTTAAAAAGAAACCATCAAGATTTAGACAACTGGAGAGAGAGGAGAGAAAAGAAGAGGTAAAAGGCGTGTAGCAGTGACAACCTCCAAGATGCTGATGAATGGAACAAACTGATGACGCTGTAATCCATTCTTATACAAGTCTTTCGGAGGTCTATTCGAGGTAGCAACAACAACGAGACCTTCGTCGAATAACAAGGAAAAGAATCGCTTTAGAATCATAGCGTCCGCAATGTCAGTTACCTGCAGTACAAAGTGTTCGAAAGCGCAAAGAGCAAGACAGCAGAAACAGATCTGTCTAATAAGATGTACTCTCAAGTGACACGATAGAACTTTTTGAGTACCTGGAACTCATCGAAGCACAAGAGCCGACAGCTGTTCATGATTTCGTCAACAATGTGCGGCACTGGATCAAAGGTACCTGGCTCACCATGGTGTGCCATCTTCAGTTTATGCATATCTATAACGAAAAATAGAATTTTGGATAAAGATGAAAGGCACTATGACCCACTTTTGTGCACATCTTGCATGAAAGAGTGAAAGTGAACGCGTTCCTTATCCTCGAAAGGGCAGCAATCAAAAAACAAATCCATTAGAAAGGTTTTGCCACAACCGACAGTGCCCCACAGATAGATCCCTCGAGGAGCAGGACTTACCTGCTTGCCCTGAAAGAGCAGGTTAAGTTTCTATCTCACTGAATTCAGAAAAACTTTCAAAACCATTCTCGAGCACAAACAATTCTATGGACATTCGGATAATCCCTACCGTTCGCTAGACTCGCATTTGAGGCTCGGTGTCAATGTTTTTCTTATTCAACAGCTTCCAGGGGCGGTATTCAATCCTTCCCCCAGGAGACAGAAATTGGGGG